TCAACCAACCACTCTTCCCAAGCCAAGGTGGGCAATTCTGCTCTATAACTGTATGTGGCCTTGGGGAAGGGGAGGGTACATAGGCAGGGGAACACTAGGAAAGGAAGCTCCATTTATGTGGCTATGGGGAAGCCACCATCTGTACTGGGTGAAGACTTTCTGGTGTGGCCAGGAGCACCTACACTTCTGTAAGTAGCCTCTGACCTATTGCTCTCTATAAGCAAGCTCAATAAACTCAATGGTTCCCCAGGGTGAACTCTGGTGGAACTGTACCTCAATTTGTCATTGGGACCTTAGGAGAAGGGAGTGGATACTGTTTATGTCTCCATGAGGGAAGCAGTTTTGGCAGCATGCCTATTAGCTATATCTTTTTGTTTGTACAAACAGACCCCTAGCTTCCACCAACTCAAAGGCTAAAAATATCATCAGATAGCATCCGAGGCCTACAGCAGAGATTTTCCTGCTTTGCTGCAACTTGCCTACCTCATGTTTCCACCAAGGTATTTGAAAAGTGCTTTGATTACATTTTTCTCACTCATATTTGGCTACAGAATAAACTTTTTAACTTTTAAAAAATTTTATAGAGAATATCATACATGCATACAACATGTTTTGATCAAATCCATGTCCATTCCCTCCCCTCCAACTCCCATATCTCCCCATCACTTTTCCTTAACACCTTTTTTTTTTTTTAATGGAGACTTTTTGCTACTTGAACATTCCCCCCTCTGATGAGGTAACCTTAAAATCTTTTAGGGATTAGATAAGAGCTCCCAAATACTTTTGACAATTTTGGCCTTTGAAACAGAGTATGCTGCTAAGAGGCCCAAGGACATATCGATTTTTAGCCAAGAAACTGGCTACTTTTCTTTGGGGTCTTTTTACCCTAACTGCCTAGCCAATTCCTACCTCTTATTCTTATCACACCATCCTCTGAAGAGGTTACCCAAATTGCCAATAGGGAATCAGGACACAGACCACTGTGGCTTCTTCCTCGCTGAACAGGGACACAAGGTGAGGCAGTTGGGGTACCCTTTGGTGAGTCTATCTAAAAGACTCCCAAATTGCATAACTCTTGTCTCTAAGGGAAGAAGAAAGTCCTTGAATCATGAATAGGAGATGTGAAGGAGATGTAAAGGCAAGAGTAGTTAGCATTTTAATCTCTGGGATGAGACTGTTGACACCAAGGCTCTTCCTGATCCAATCCCACCTCCTTTTCCACCTCCCTCTTGAGATACCCTCCCTGACAGTCTTTCTAAAGAGTCACTATGTAGAACAGACTGGCCTTGAACTCAGAGATCTGTCTGCATCTTCTTCCCACATGCTGGGATTAAAGGCCTGCATTGTAGGAAACCAGGATGCCATGCCCTACGGTGAGAGGAGCCTAAAAATTTTAAGTCCAAGCTGCATTCTCTGCTAAAGGGAGGGGCGCTGAAAACAGTAGCTCTAATATCCCTGTCTTGCAGAACACTGACAGACTGGCAGGAGAAAGCAGCCTGGTCATAAGTGCAGGCTCGGTGCTCTGTGGGAAAGCATCTTGGTCAACAACCCTTAGCTCAACTGCTTGTCCTGAACAAATAACTCAGCTATCCTTGGCTAAGAGATTAGGCCAGGTTAAAGGTTTACTCCTGAGCTAAAAGCTAAAAGTTCACCACGCTTTTAGCTCTAAGAAAGAAAACATTGTGGCCAATAAATTACCAGATGGGCATTGATAACCTTAAAAGTTTAAGAATCCTTCTGGTGCCAGCTAACAGACTAAATGTCCTGTTTCTTTGTACCCTCAATCTTTGTATGTGACT